CCCCTTTCCAAGTCCACTGATAGGGGAGGACCTCCTCCCCTTCCATCTGACCCCAGCTTATCAAGTATCTTTAGGACTGGCGGCAAAGTCCTCCTCTGTGGCCTAGCAGGGCCGCTCCTCCCTGGGGGGGGGGGGGGGGGCGGTGCGGTCAAAGAGCCAGCCATTGAGTTCATGTCAGAAATAGTCCTGTTCCTCTTACTAGGGAACACACTTGGATACTGAGCTACCATGGTATACATCCGAGCAGAGGTTCTAGGTTATATTCATACATGGTCCTTGGTTGAAGATACAGAGATATGGATATTAACGAACACAAATAATGTCCCTCATTGCTCAGCTCAGCACTTGGTTCCTAGTGAAGAAAGCAGACATCATCTGCCCTTCCCACAGAGCTCTGGGTGTAGAGTAGCATGCTTCTAGGAAGAGCAAGTTTCCCTCTAGCCAGGCAGGAGCTAGATCAAGGAGACTGCTCAGTGTATACACAGTTGTATGGGAAAGTCAGAAATGGTAACAGGATAAGTGACAAGTATGGAGAACTTAGAAATCTTCAATAAATATTTACTGAATGAGTGCTAAGTGAGGAATAAGAAGAAATTTAGCTCTCAGAAACGAAACAGGAAAGGCAACAGAGAGAGACAGATATAGGAAGAAAAAACACATGGAAACATTTTATGCTTTTCAAATGTTCTGAATAATATTTGGGAATAAAAGCTGTTCTCGCTGTATCTTCTGCCTCCAGGAAGCCTGAAATATTTGCCTGCTGGTCTCTTATGGCGGAGTGCGGGTGTGGAGGAATGAATTCCCTGCCAGACTGTTCTGTCGTTACCTAGGCAGTAGGATGACTGGGAAGCCTGGACCCTGGCACTCCAACTGAAATGCCTTGTTGGCTAAAGCAACTTTGACTGGCATTTGTCAAACAGAAAGTCATGGGGTAAAACAAAAAAAAAGAAAAAAAAAAGAAATCAAACAGTTGGGTGCTGGAAATGTTCAAGTTAAGGAGAAAGCCTATGTACACAGAGAATTTTAGGAGTGGGTTCTTTAAAACATTCAAAATAATTTGTACAAACAAAGCTTATTAAAAACAAAATAGAATTTCATTGTGTAAATGTACCACAATTTCTGCCTCAACCATATGTAGAAGAGTTTCACGTTTAGATTTCTTTGAAATTAATTTAGGACATAGTAGCATGTTCTTCTAAATGGGTTCATTAATAGCTTGGGCATTAGATGGCCCATTGGTTGTCTAAAGCTCATCCCTTGCATGACACAGTAGTTGCTGGCTCTGCTGCTCAGTCTCACTCATGCCCTGTTGTAGGGTATGGTTATTGTATGTGAAACTCTTTAAAAGTTAGGCAATGTCCCATTTCACCAAAAAGAAAATTTTTTAAAGTTTCTTTTTGTTTTGTTTGTTTGTTTGTTTGTTTGTTTTTCCAGTTAAAGTGATTGTCTCAGTTAGGGTTTTTATTGCTGGGATGCCCATGACCAAACACCGGAACCAAAAGGCAAGTTGGGGAGGACAACAACAATATTGTTGTTTGTTATCAAAGGAAGTCAGGACAGGAACTCAAACAGGCCTGGAACCTGGGGGCAGGAGCTGATGCAGAGGCCATGTAGGGTGCTGCTTATGCTGCTCACTGACTTGCTCCACATGACTTGCTCAGCCTACTTTCTTATAGAACCCAGGATCTGTCACCACCCACAGTGGGCTGGAACCTTCCCTCATTAATCGCCAATTAAGAAACTGCCTTTCGACTGTGCATGGAGATAACCTAAGACCCCTGCACAGATGTAGCCCATTGCAGTTCAGTATCCAAGTGGGTTCCATTATAATAGGAACAGGGACTGTCTCTGACATGAACTGATTGGCCTGCTCTTTAATTACCTCCCCCTGAGGGGGAAGCAGCATTACCAGGCCACAGAAGAAGACAATGCAGCCACTCCTGATGAGACCTAATTGACTAGGATCAGAAGGAAGGAAAAGAAGACCTCTCCTATCAGTGGACTTGGGGAGGGGCATGCATGCAGAGGGTGGAGGAAGGAAGGGTTTGGGATGGGAGGAGGGAGGGAACCACAGGGGGGATACAAAGTGAATAAAGTGTAATTAATAAAGAATTAAAATATATATTATATGCATATAAAATATTTATAAAATATATTTTATATATATTTATATTTATAGAAAAGAAACTGCCTTGCAGATTGGTCTACAACCTGGTCTTATGAAGGCTCCCTCCTTTCAGATGATTTTAGCTTGTGTCAAGTTGATATAAAACTATCTAGCATACTGATTATTTTGAGCTTGGAGCCATATAAATCCAATCATTGAGACTATAGGTATAGCATAATCTATGAAGGCATACATAAAATGCTATAAATAATATATGATGAAAATGCCTTGAAAATTGTTGCCCTTTTCATACTCTCATATTTCAGGAAGCAATTTTGGTCCATCTCACCTTTCCTACACTCTTGACACTACAGTGGTGCCCCTATCCAACAACTGGCCTGCTTCCATCACCTGTTGTGTGGCATTCTGCAGAACAACACTGACACTGCCCCATGGCATCACTAGAAATCTCTTCCTCAGCCACGGAAACCTGCATGCTGCTCATGATCTCTAGTGATCACTTACTCAGTTAGGGTGTGGTGTGGTATAGTGTGTGTGTGTGTGTGTGTGTGTGTGTGTGTGTGTGTGTGTGTGTG